TCCATAGATAATGTTTTCTAACTATAATAGAACAATATTAGAATATACCTTTTGAAATAAGTTGAACCTATATAAAAATATTAATTATAGTTACGTTGGTGGTGTAAGGGTCAAATTTGACCCGCATATATTTGTTAGTAAAATGAGCCTTTATTCTTCAGAAAAGGACTTTATTTTACGAGAACACTACTTTTCTGAAAGTTTTCTGGAGTTTGGTCTGAAAAGTTCTTATGTAGTCTTTATGTCTTAGATCTGTGACTTTGCAAATCGAATCCAGGGCTCATTTTTATGATATTTGCTGATTTTTCTCTACATTCATTTGCGGGTTTGAGACCAAACCTTCCCATTCTTTGAAACAAAGCCCTGTTCTGACTCATTCAGTCACTTCTTCATCTGAGTCTGATGTTTCTTCATCTGAGTCTGATGTTTCTTCATCTTGATGTGGATCATCCACAAAATCATCCTCAGATACATCCTCCTCTATTTCAGCCTAATCTGGCGGCATTGTGGCTGAGAGAATCGCACTACTGCGTCTCAGCAAGAAGGTTCTGGGTTCACATCCTGGTCAGAACAAGTCCCTTTCTGAGTGGAGTTTGCATGTTCTCCCTGTGTATGCATTGGTTTCCTCCAGGTGCTCCGGTTTCCCCTAGCACTCAAAACATGGACAATAGGTAAAATTCTTCAGTTCTGGTCCTGATCAAGCCGAGCATCAACATCTGGAGATGGGTCCAAAGACACTGTATTACACAGCGACCTCTGCTCCTGTTAGAGAACCTAGTAGTAAAACTTGCAGGATGGGTCAAATGCAGAGGTCAAATTTTCCTACGGGACAATGTGCACATCCGTCTCCTCCAAAGACTCTTCCTCCACGAGGATGTGATCAAGAACCTCACGGACCATGTAACGTAAAGGTAAAGGTTGCTTTTTCTCCAAAGGGCAATTCCTCCTCTGCATCTGACCTGTCTTGATGCTTCTAGGGCCTTTATCAGGAGCATTAACTGCTGTAGTACTGCACCCAGGACCCAACTCCAGATGTTGATGCTTGGCTTGGTCAGAACCAGAGCTGGAAGATTTTACCTATTGCGCATGTTTTGCGCGGTACGGGTACGGGAAACTGGAGCACCCGGAGGAAACCTACACAGGCACAGGGAGAAAAAACTACACCCAGAAAGGCCCTGTTCAGTTCAGGATTCGAACCCAGGATCTTCTTGATGAGACGTGAGGGGTTGTCTGTGTATGTGTGCGCAAAAAAGTGTCTAGTCAGGTCAAATTTAAGTACAACATTTCATCTTTTTGTTCACAAAGTGTAAAATGTTGGTTCTCACACGCGTGGGTCAGATACTGTTCTGTGAGAAAAGATTTGTTCTCGTGGAGAGAGGGGATGAAGGTGGGGTCACGACTGTATTGTACTCGAGTAAATGTGTATTCATGTGGAGGGGGTGGGCGGGTCACATACTTTGATGTGAGAAAAGATTTTTTTGCAGCATCCAGAATCATATTTACACGGTCCGATTTTTCATGAAGAGCTGACGCACTGTTGATGATGAACGCAATGAAAGTCAGGAAGCACATTTTATCGACACACAAGAAGTTTCCTCTCGAACTTTTAACATTATCTTCTCCCACTTCCTTAGCACGCTTTCCTGCATCTGCATATGAAATCTTCGACTCTTCTCTCAACCGACACACTTTGACTTCAAGCTGTTTCCGTGGACAGTCCATAGATTCAGCACGATGCTTTCCAGAACAATGAACACATTCTGGTTCTTTATTAGTCATTTCACAGTCCTCATTCACACACGTATCACTCCAACATCTTTTAGATCCCCTGCAGACAGCGGCCACATGTCCATATCCTTGGCAGGAAAAGCACCTCAAAAGGGCTCCATTCAAAAGGCCTCACTCTGTAGGAAACATTATCTAAATACACCCGCTCCGGCAACTCTCCAAATATAAACGACACAGATTCACTCATTTGTCTCCATCCGTCTCTGACTCTAAACAGCCTCCTTGCATCACAAACACCAGGGACCCGTTCGAAATCTTCCCTTTCCACACTGGTAGGGACTCCACTAATCACTCCCTTCACTCTCTTCTTCCCAGTAAGTGAGAAACACCGAACTAGCACATTGTTGTACTTTTCAATCTTCAAAAACTTTCTCTCTCTGATTTTGAGATGCACACTCTATGACGACCATCCCGCTTCTTGTCACTCGGACTGGACAGTTTCCTCCCAACTTTCGACCAATGCTCTTCCCTAATGCGTGCGGATCACTGAAAATCCCATCTTTTTTGGTGATTGCTGTCATACCCACAGGAAATGTCTCTCCCACGCTTGACTGACCAGATTCACTTGATACACTTTTCTTTTTCCTTTTCTTTTTGTGCTCCATTGCTTTACTCGTATCCCCACTTTCGGATTCCAGCGCTGACTCCATTTCCTCCTGCTCCGGATGCATGACTCTCACCATCCTACCAGTCTTCCGCCTCTCTGCGGTTGTTTTTCTCCCGGAACCTAATGGCTGCCTTCCAAATTACCCAGGTGCTTAAAGGAGCAGCTAACTAGTGGGTGGAGCGAGAGGTGGAGCTAAGGGTGGAACTACAGGGCACACCAAAGCCCCACTACACCTGCTCCACCTTCTGCAATAATAGACATTATCCATTACCCAGGTCCAGCTCTTATCCTGAACAAATACTAAACATACTGTAGGTTTGGTGGATTCCATTATTCCCTCATTACTGCATTGGGCTGTCTACTAGTTTAGCTTCTTTGCTGTTGAACTAGGATGTGTAATATACAGTACAGAGGTTTGGACACACTTTTTCTTTTCCTGACTATTGACTGTAGATTCACACTCAGGCTGTGTAAGGGCTATTTGACCGATAAGGACAGTGACGGGTGCTGGGCCAGATGACCTGGCCTCCACAGTCTCCGGACCTGAAACCTATCCAGGTGGTCTGGGGTGAACTGGACCACAGAATGAAGGCGAAAAGGGCTAAACTTCATGACTGTTGGAAGACCATTTCAGGTCACTCCCTCTTGAAGCTCATCAAGAGAATACCAAGTGTGCAAAGCAGTAATCAGAGCAAAAGGTGCTACTTTGCAGAACCTAGACATATTTGCAGTTGTTTCATACTTTTATTTTTAGTACGTTCATGATTTCACATGAGTTAATTCATAGCTTTGAAAAATAAACTCTTTGAATGAGAAGGTGTGTCCAAACTTTTGGTGTGTACTGTAGGTTCTGACAGAATGGTTACAGTTGTAGTCAATCCTCTCTGCTCTGTTTGGTATTCGAGGATCATGTTTCAACTTTTGATATTTGTGCAGATATCTGCTCATCAGTGTAACGACACAGATTCTATTCTGTTTCTTTTCCGTTAAGCTGCAGATGGAGTTCTATAGCCTCATTTACAGCCTGAGTCCCTGATCTACAGCCTCAGTCCTGGATCTACAACCTAAGTCCTGGATCTACAGCCCAAGTCCTGGGTCTACAGCCTGACTCCTGGATCTACAGCCTGAGTCCTGGATCTACAGCCCGAGTCCTGGATCCTTTTCTCCATCTGAGTTGTTGATGTAGCAGGGTCTAAGGACAGTGATCTACCAGTGATCCAGGGCATTCAGCAACATTTATGGATTTTATCAACATTTATGGACATTAGTAATTTATTGTGTTTGAAATGTTTGATTCTCTGATCTGTGTTGGTGAATCAACTGCTTTGTTAAGGCCTCCAAGAATACCACTGATTTGATTTAGGGTTATTAAAAAATACGTTGAATTGAATTGAAGCTTTATTTCTTACAGTTACTGTCTCTTACCACCTCCTCGACAGAAGGTCTTTATGGACAAGGAAGGAGATCATTTTTTACCTGATTTGCATCCAGGAAGTGCTTAACCTAAGACAAAAGTTTACAGCCTCAAATGCCGCACTGTGGCATCTGCTCTCTTAGACACGGTGCTGCAGTGATTAGAGCTACTGCCTCACAGCAAGAAGGTCCTGGGTGGCAAATGGGGCCTATTTAGAAGTGGTACCACCAAATATACATAGTATATATATAGTTCTGTCTGCACTCTGTGTAGAGAGAAGGGAAATCACATGGTAAAACATTTTGTGTGACCGTGAAATGCTCTACAACAATAAATGACTTGTTGAAGCTGAAATCAGGGTTTGCAGAGGCTTTGTAATGTAAACCAATACATTTTGAGTTACTTTCTTTCTTCTGATTTGAAATCCTTTCTTTTGTTCATGACTGTGATCCAGGATTGACATGACAGTGAACTATGAGTCAAATACACTGGTTAGACTTGAACTCTTCAGACCGCTGCCAAAGAAATATATAACCAGTTCGCTGAGCAGTGATGAATGTGTGTGGAATACTTACTGTCCACTGCTCATTGGACACTGAGTAGTTCATATGTGAAATAATCTTTGTAATTAAAAGCTTAAGTTAATTCTTTATTCTATTTTTTCAAACAGATACACACACACAGCAAAGACACAAACATATGCACACACACAGCAAAGACACAAACATGCACGCACACATACAAACATGTACGCACAAAAAGTCCAGGACGGCAAAAAAAGTACACATTTGAAAATATCCTTATGGGCACAAATAGGAAAAAATGCAGTACTGCATTTGCACTATGGTCAGAAACTTAAATAAATAAAACATACAGTGTAGGAATATGTTTTGACTGTATTTTAACTGTTTATTAATTGTTTTTAATGGCGACCTTGAGACTGAAGCGACTGAAAAAAACTGTAACCTCTGGGGCAGTTTTTTTAGGACAGTCTACCTAGTCTAAAAGTTATATTTTAGCTTATATGAGTCTGAGACACCAAATACAGAAAGATGAGCTCATTTCATTCAGTTTCTGTTTTGTGTTTGAGTTGAGCAGAAATGGGCGAGTCCATTCCACACGTCACTGAGAGGCGTGAGTATAAAACCTTCTGCGTCCCCATTCAACACCAGTAACAAGCAGTCAAGCACCATGAAGGAGGACATGGACCGAGAGGACTTCCTCAAGTAAGTACTGCTTCTTTTACATTTGTGTCGTATTTTTTTCTTGTGTGTTGTTGTCACAGACTGTATATATGTATGGATGGGTTAAGGATATGCTTAATAGGCGTTTTGCAGGATAACAGTACAATTGGTGGTTGGATGATATAAAATTCATTTATTTGATACGTGGAAAATATATGTTCCGCCTTTGATACACACACGGCTGTATTATGTATACAAAAATGTTTGTTGTTGTTTTTTTAATCTATTCTTTTAGGAAGTTTATTTAATGAATTTATTTGTTTTGTATGTATGTATTTCAGATACAGACATAGAGCATGTGTAGTTTTCCCTGTAAAAAAAATCTGTAGATTTTACGGTACAAATTCTGGCTACTTTTGTCATCAGAACATTTCTGTAAAAATATGGCTGTGCTGTAAAGCAAATTACGGAAATTCAGTACACTTTACATCTGTTACATGTATATTTTGCATTAGAAAATGGTGAAAGTCAAAGACAAAGATTCTCCATTACAAGTCCTTCATGAGATTAACAGAGCATAATTTAATGCAGGTGGTGTCAGCGATAAGTGGTTGAGTTAAACTCACAAGATTTGTCAACAGTTATTTGGATATGCTTTAAACTTCATTCATTTGGTTGTTCATTACTTACAGTGTAGTGTTACAGTGTTTTATGGGGCTACACGCCTCACTCATGGTTCATATCAACTTGATCCCCTATGAGCCTTTGCGCTTTCTGCCTCAAGTTTGCTTCAAAATCACCGGCAGCATCAGCAACAGACAAAAGGCATTTTTATGTGCGTTGTTGTAGCAGATTGCAGATTAGTTTTGCTGTTGATATTTGCACAGTTGCTATCTTGTGGCTGAACTTGTTGCTTGTTGTTCTTCCAACTAAGGCGGTGTTGTTTTTAAAGGAATTTTATTAAATTTACATTTATTTGTGTTTCACGTGTAATATAATGATTAAACATTTTAAATAAACTTAGACCAAGTGAAATAGGCCATGTTATTTTCATCAACCTTGATCAAGACGGCTATGCCAAAAAAGCACTATTCAAACAACCCAAATTGATTTACAATATTGTATACCTTTGGGCTTTTGCTCTACAATTTTGGAGGAGCTGTTCTAGAGATTGATGGCTCAATTCAAGCCTTAGGGAAAGATCTCATGGGGAGATCAAACCCATTACCTTCATTCCAAAGTCCAATGGTACTGGTAGACAATCAGACACGCTATCAAAGTTATTTTTCAGTCGCTTTTAAATTAAGTGAAAGCACAGTACATTTTCAATTCAAAAGATTCATGATCAATTCTCATCACAATTGATATACAGTATGATTAAAATCTATCATTAAAAAGAAACCTTAAAAATGTATATTTTACAATATTTTAATGTCACTTTCACTAAATGATTTTGATATGAGTCATACAGTTTTTCTGTGATTTTATGTTTCTACGAGTAAATTTGATCATAATCACAAATCATTGATGTAATTTCAACAAAAATCTCTTGTTTCTCAAATCAAAACATTTTTATTGGGATTTTAACATAAATGTATTGTTATCATACTAACATTAATATTATTTTGCGTTTTTACAATATTTCTCTGTTAATTTTACTGTCTTATTTTACAGTGCAGAACATTTATCAAACACAGTTGGCATTACTCAAAGCACCTTTTGTTTTTACATAATTAAAGAGCATTATCCCGGATTCTATTTATTGAGTTCACTGCAAAAACAGTTCTCCATTTTGATTTCTCACAACGATGTAATCCTTACACTACAATTTTCAGCATGTTTTGTTACTGGCGGTACATGTGGAAGAATTTGCATTAAAAAAGGCTGAAAGATTATTTGCATGGTGATAAAAACATCTGGCTTGTCAAAAAACGACTTGGTAAAAGGGAAGCTGAATTCTAATTCTAAAATATGGTGAAAATAATATAGTTTTGTTAACATTCACTGGTTCCTCAGGATCTCACAGACCACATGAGGAACACACATTTGTTACAGCGTTCTTTGTGGAAATTAACATTGTTTATTTGCATTGATTGACACTTGTTAGACTCCCCGAGATAGATACTGTAGATAGACACATAAATAGATATGAAGGTACTTTATTTTTTCCCTGCAGAAGATATCCAGCCCTCATCCATCCATACATCCTAAACTGATCCCATATTAGGTTTCAGATAAAAGTAATTGATGATTAATAGCACCAAAGAAAAACAAAACTGATTCTATTTAGGATTCCTATCTATTTGGTCTAAAACAAAACTGTCGCTCTCTGATGCTTCCCTCGTCGTTGTGTAAAAAGAGGCGACAGTGGCTCAGTTGGTAGAGCATTGGCCTTTGAGCCAGAAGGTCGTGGGTTCGAGCCCACCACAAGACTTTCTCCACCGACTCCCTCCTGCTGTCATTGTGTCACACCTCTGGGAACACCTGATGCCACAGCGGGGTGGCTGCTGCTGTAAAGTGCCAAACTGCTGTTGTGTCCTTAGGCAAGACACTTCAGCCCCATTGCCTAGAATGAGTATGGTGTGTGTGTGTGTGAATGGTTGGTGGTGGTCAGAGAGGCCAATGGCACATATTGGTTGCCTTGCTTCTGTCAGTGTGCCCCAGGGCAGCTGTGGCTACAGTAATAGTTTATCACCACTGTGTATGGAGTGAATGAATAATGACATGTGAAGTGTACAAACAGCGCTAAATACTATCGATACATTATTAAAACAGCTTTTCTAAAACATTGGATAATTTCTCTCAATGATCCAATGCATGTGTGAATGCAAGGCTCCACTCAACAAACATGTTCCTGTTGTTTAACTGTGTGTTTGGTCAGGAGGTCGTGGGACACCGCTCGAGAAGTCCCCATCATCGAGGACGAGAACACGCCCTGGAAACTCATCAAACTGCTACGCTTCATCACGCTCTGCACCGTCGCTCTGCTTGTGTTCGGACTCGCCCTCTGCAGCAAGGTCTGCGTCATTATGGAAGACTTTCAACTGATTTTAAAAAAAGTTATTTTATGGTGTTTACATGTTTTGTCATTTATTATAAGACGGCCTTAATGCTGCTGATCACCATGTCGAGTGAGGGCACGAAGGTGATCCCTAAGGAGCAGAAGCCAGTGTCTCTGCTGTGCATCGGCTGTGTCCTGGTCTCCTCCAGTCTCCTCCTGTTCCTTAAGAGCATCTGGAAAGCCTGCAACAAAACCTCCAAGTTCCCACGCATCAGCACAGCGGCTCTGGTCAGTGTTGATCAGTATTGATATGAATCCACAGGTATACAGTAAAGACTGATCAATGATGTTGATTGTCCTGCAGGTGTTCTCCTTTGAGTTGGTGGCCTCTGCAGGAGCAGCCATCCTCACCATTGTGGCCATGCCACATCTCGACATTGTGACCAATGTGAGCATCGTGAACGGAGCAGCCTTTCTGTCTGCGCTCCTGCAGATCGTGGCTCAGTGCACGGCTAAAGAGAGAAACCGCTTCCTGGTGCCGTCCATCACTGCTCTGATCCTGGTGCTGCTGGGCTATGGTCTCTTCTTAGCTCTGTATGTGATGAAGGACACCAGTGACTTAAAGATGGCCATGTGGGTGGGGCTTGCAGTAGGCGCCTCTCTGCTGATGTCTTTGAACTGGTGGGAAAACTACTTTGGACTCATCAGTGAACACAGCAGCTCCATAGTGGTCAAAGGACTGTATCACGACATGAGGAAATGCAGGAACACTCTGAACATGTTCTCCAGCCTGCTCCGCATGGCTGTGACCTTTTCAGTGCTGGGAGCCTACGTCCCTCTGTCCCAGATGGACTGGGACGTGGTTAGGTCCATCCCAGGGCCACAGACCCGGGTCATAGCCATCACAGTGGGGGTACAGCTGGTGTCCTCTGCCCTGTGCCACTGGTTCTCTCTGGCAGCCTGTAAAATGCACGCCATGCGGCGCTGCTTCATCTTGCCCCTGTACCTGTCCTCTCTGTCCGTCATGGCTCTGCTGGTGGTCCCTGTGATTGTTTACTATCAGGACTACAGGCTCGGCCTTAACGGCACCAGCACTAACTTCACTCACTACTGCAGCGCGGTGGTGGAGGCTCGGAATGCCAGCCTGAACTCTAGTGTGTTCCCTGAGCTGGTCTATGACGTCAGCCACACACTTTGCTTCCTGGACATGTCCAAGATGAGCGACATCGGCCTCCTGACCGGTACATAGAGCTCTGTATGAAGCCGCTGCTCTGCCTCAGAAGGACACTCTCTAATGTCTGTGTTGTCTTCAGGCTCTGCGGTGTCGTGGTGGCTCGGCCTCCTGCTGTGTACTATCCATCTGTGGCACTTAAGTCTTTTCCGCATCCAGAGGACCCAGGACCTGTTTGTGCGTGGCCTGTATGAAGGAGGCTTCATCGAGCAGTCGCTGCTGCTCAACATGCGCTTCGAAGTCAAGACTTCAGGAAAACTCAAGAAGTAAGAAGTTTCTTTGTTATGAGGCAGAGGAGTCGGACCCTGACTTTATTCATTGAAGAAACTCATTCTGCAAATTCTCTCTTTAAGGCCAAAAACCTTTGATCCTGCGATGATTTATTTGTGTGCAACAATGTGGCATGAAACCTATGACGAGATGCTGAACATTATCATCTCCATTTTCAGGTTAGAGCTCTGAAAGGGTCTAATGTATCTGAGTGAGTGGAGGAGATTCTAAGTCATCTCTAACACTAGCTTTTGTGCTTTTCAGACTGGATAAATACAGACCACGAGGAAACACAGAGTTCACAGATTTCAGCTTTGAGGCACATATTTACTTTGACGATGCCTTTCTGGACATAAAAGGAAGCCGAGGGCGTCACTTGAATGAATATGCCAAGAATCTGGTAGAAATCATTGCTGAGGTGTATGGGTAAGAAGGCTTCTGTTGTTGACGATGTATTCATTCTCAATGCTCATGTTTCTAACGTCTGTTTGTCTCTTTCATGTTTCAAGCATTTTCACAAACATAGATGAGAAGATATTCATAAAGAAACAGCAGCACACAAAACAAAGTATTGTCAAAACGCCATACGGAGGTCGTATCGTTGTTAAAATGCCAAATGGGAATGACATAGTGATTCACTTTAAGGACAAAGATCGAATCCGACACAAAAAGAGGTGGTCACAGGTAAACCCGCTCAAACCTTCTTAAATATTATTTTCTTTATAAGTCCAGCCAGAATACTCAGATAGTCACAGCTGCAAAATGGGAGCGACTTACGGTTACAGGAGTAAAATTCCCCTTTCAACATCCTCGTAGAAGTTTTGAAATCAGATCAGATTAATTTATTTGCCATTTGCGGTAAAACTACATTGGAATACATTTTAAAAAGTCCCCAGTGTGCACAAGCCAAGTACATACATAAAACAACATTAAAAGTACAGAAATAAAACAAATATACAGTAAACAATTGTCAACGACTAAAACAGTTTCAATACAAGTGCAAGATCCTTAAAGTGCTGTTTAAACTGATAACAGCCCGTGGGAGATGTCCTGCATCTCAGCGAATAATATCTTCTGCCAGAAGGAAGAAGCTGGAACAAGCCTTTTCCAGGGTGGCCAGAAGAGTCATTGATTATTCTTAGAGCTCGGTTTAAAAGTCTGGATTTATATAGAACCTCCAGAACAGGAAGCTCACAGCCCACGGTCCTCTTTGCAGAGCGGAGCACCTTGTTTAGAGCTCTCCTTTCTTTGTCTGTGATGTCACCAAACCTCACAGTCACAAAACCAACAAGCAAATTTTCAATGGTGCAGCAATAAAAGTTAAGCAGAATCGTAGAGTTAGTGGTAAGAGAATTTAAAGACGCTCTAAATTCTCTTACCACTAACTCTACGATTCTGCTTAGTGGTAAGAGAATTTAGAGACGCTGACGAGCTCAACCCGGTTAGTGTTTTTGACCCATTTCAGGTCGACAGAGGGACAGAGTTAAACCCAGAAACTTTCGATGCGTTCAGCTGGAGGTTGTTAGCTTTACTCCACTGAACCACAATTGGATCTCTGCTCTGTAAGACCGATTTTGAGAATAACAAGTGACCTAGTAGTGTCCACAGCGCGGGGGTTCCAGTAAAAACATAACATTACCTAAAGTGGCTTAAATGTCTGGTTTCTTGTAAGAACATACAGATCAGAGAAGAGCTAAACTGTGCAGCTACAATAACCAGGTTCCTTACTCGTGGTTCAAAAATGAGCAAAGGAGATAATCCAGTCGATATGTCACAATCCACTGTGATTATTCAGGTGATGTACCTTTACTACCTTCTGGGATTCAAGCTCATGACCAAGTACTATTCTCGTTGGAAGAAAGGAGAAGTCGAAAGCTCCCTTAAGCAAGACATCCAGGTAAACTACGTCAGAACGGCTCTATTTTTACAAACAAACTGTAACCAATGATTAGCAGACTATGTTAGCGTAACGTTAACCTACACATCTGATAAAGTGTGATGGTTTGATTTTGTCTGAGCAGAAAGAGAAACACAACACGTACCTCCTGGCTCTGGACGGAGACACAGACTTCCAACCCACTGCTGTGGTTCTTCTCATCGATCGCCTCAAAATGTATCCTCGAGTCGGAGCCGCGTGTGGCAGAATCCACCCCACTGGAACAGGTCACTACTGCTAAAACAGAAATAAACAGTTTGAGCTCTAATTCCTCTCACTCATTCATTCAACACAACCCAAAACACACACAGACACAAGCCAGAGGCACAAACACTCTCTGACCCAACATCGTGTGTATAATTGACATAGAGGAGATTGTTGTGTATACATAGTTTGTTTTCCTCTGCAGGCCCGGCGGTGTGGTTCCAGAAGTTTGAGTACGCCATCAGTCACTGGCTGCAGAAGACGGCGGAGCACGTGTTCGGATGTGTGCTGTGCAGTCCAGGATGCTTCAGTCTGTTCAGGGCCGAGGCGCTCATGGATGACAACGTGATGAAGAGGTACTCCAGCAAGTCTATGGAGGCCAGCCAGTACATCCAGTACGATCAAGGTGAGGACCTATATCACTTAGATAAAGTTAGATACAGAATATAGATAGATAGATAGATAAATACAGAAGATATATATAGTAGACAGACGTACAATATAATGTCTTGCCTGCATTCAAATCCCAAACAGCTACACTGATCTTACTCCACGTCCTCTGTTTGTGCTTTGCAGGTGAGGACCGCTGGCTCTGCACTCTGCTTTTGAAACAAGGCTGGAGAGTCGAGTACAATGCTGCTTCAGATGCCTACACCAAGGCTCCCGAGGACTTTAAAGAACTCTACAACCAGGTCAGTAACATAAGCTCTCATAATTCAAACTCCAGGATCAGCTGCAATCAAGGTGGAAGGAATGATCCAGGATGTTCGACATTCAATGACATTTATGTACATTTAGCAACATTTATCAACACTTATCAACATTTCTGGACTTTGGTCACCCGCCCCTTAATTACCAATGGCCAATGTGTTCTTATCATTGCAATTCCTGTGTCTTGTATGTGTTGGCGAATCAACAGCTTTGTAGTTATCTCTAGTTCTCAGAGATAACTACTGTTGTGATTTAGGTCTATACAAAAATACATTGAATTGATTGAATTGAATGATTGACGTATAGTTGCATTTGGGTCCATACACTTACCACTGTCAACATCTGCCGATTTTCAGCTGGCTCACAAATGTAAAATGATTGTAGCTTTAATAGGTAGCAAGAGTGCTGGTGTGTGTGTGTGTGTGGGGGGGGGGGGGGGGGGGGGGGGTGGGTAGTCTTGCACAGTTATTCCAATGAGGATCAACTGTAAATGACAAATAAACTGAATCTTGAATATTTTCTTAATCTTCTCCTCTCAATAACTTTTGACAGCGACGTCGTTGGGGCCCTTCCACCATGGCCAACGTCATGGATCTCCTAGGAGCAACAACATCGATTTCCAAGAAAAATCCGTCCATGTCAAAGCCCTTCATGTTCTACCAACTTTTTGCCATTATTTCTGGCATCCTAGCCCCAGCCACAATCTGTCTCATGTTAGCAGGTTGGTTTTGCTTCTGTACTCTGCGAAAAGTGATGAAAATAAGTCAAAAATTGTGTCAATTTGAGCACATTTGGACTGCCTTAAAACAGGATTTGCCAATGGGGCAAAGCATAATGATCTTGTTTTTAAAATACATGTATACAAGTATTTTTTCCCTTTGAAATAGAAAATAAAGCAACAGTTCTTGAAATAAGACTAAATGGCTTTGCCCCATTGGATTAAATATATATATATTTTTCGACAGTCAGAATGATAAAAACACTTGATTCAAGCATTTATTACCTTTTTACAGTGTGGCCAGAGACATACAGTAATATAGATATGAGAAACGTTTAATTTATCTCTACATGTTCACATTTTGAGTCCTAAAATCCCTTTTCATTGTGATAATCTCCATTATGTTTGCAGGGAGTATGTCTTTCATGTTCAACCTTCACTCTGGCCTGGCGCTGGTGCTAGCGGTGGTCCCCCCAGCCATTTACCTGGGTCTGTGCTTCAAGCTGAAGGCCGACACGCAGATCACCATCGCAGGTGTTCTCAGTGTGGCCTATGCCTTCCTCATGCTGGTGGTGTCCATGGCCATCATCGGTGCGTACAGAGAAACCTCACACTCTGACGTTGTTCATATGTTTATGATAGAAATTAACATCTTTAACTTTGTCATTAACTCTTTAACTTTGTCATTAAGTAGCATAACGCCCCTAGAAATATTTCTAGGGGCGTTATGCTACTTTTTATACTTAAGAATAAATACGTTTATATTGTTATGTATTTGACTTCGTTAGAGTTGTCAGCATAAAACCTTCACCAACTTTGGGTTCAATAGTTTTGAAGGTTTTCTGGTGAAAGGATCCACCAGCAGAGGAAACCTACCAAACTATTGATTATAGCCACTTAGAAACCTATGTGGAAAAGGGAAAGGCTCCATGCTGGCCACAACATATAAATGTTGTATTATGCACCTTTAAAACGTCCCCATCTGAAACCCAGAGAGTTTAAAGCTGAGATTCAAACTTTGTTTAGTGTAGTGTAGTGTTAAAAAATGTTTTATGTATATTCTTCTGAACACAGGACACTTTCTATGCAGTGACATGGCTTCCCACAAAAAGTTTCCCTGCAATTTCTTACTTTTTTCCACCTGTTATTGATGATAGCAGCCTGCTATGTCTTGCATTTAAATGAACTTGATCCGTTACAGACACCTTTTATAAAGGTTCTTGTATTGGTTTGCAGGTGCGATGATTAAAGACCGAACCATCTTCACTCCCAGCAGCATGTTTGTCATCGTCATGGCGCTCATCTACTTCATCACGGCGCTGATGCATCCGCAGGAGTTCAACCTGGTCTTCTACGGCTTCCTCTACATCATCTGCATCCCCAGTGCCTACATGCTACTCACCATCTACTCCATGGTCAACCTCAACAACGTGTCATGGGGAACCAGAGAGAGCAAGCCTGCCCCTGGGGCAGCTGTGGCTCAATCTGCCGCTCCGAAGACGGCTAAAGAGAAAGGTGACCCTCTTTTACACAACTCACAAATACTGTTATGAACAGTTTTGGTTTGAAATTCTGAAAAGAAAGATTGCTTGTAATACTGATGATATTTAGAAGATTAATAATAAAACAGGAAGTATATGGCTGAAATGTTTAAACGATAGGTACATTGAGCCATATTTACATGGGTTTTTTATTTAGATTTGTCTGATTTCATGAGTGTGAGTCTGTTTACCTAAATCAGTATTAGTAGAAATAAAACAAAATAGATTTTAGAATTATTCAAATATATTAGAATGGTTTGTATATTTTATGTATCATTTGACTTCCCAGTTGTGAAATTATTGTGAGCTCTAAGGCTTCCTGATGTAAATCAGGAGAAGCCACAAAATGTAACATGAACAAGAAAAACACACTGAAAGAAGGTTTTCTGCATAACTAGCAGTAACTACATCATAGAACTTAGGGTTAAATTACATAGTTGTCCATCTTTTCCTCCTGTTTCGTCATAGAAAGTATTTAACCAATGAAGCCCAACTAAAACCCTGTCACACACTTTAAGATAACGTTCCATCGGTTCACAGCTAAAAGTGCGATGCAGCGCATGTATTCATGGACACAGTGCTGCTGCAGAAGGCCCAGTCAGAGGCAGGAGGCGCGGGCTGTCCCTCTGGAGGTGACGGAGGAGCCCACAGAGGAGGACGAGCCAGGACCCCTCAACACCATCGTGGACGGTATCTCCACAGACGACCACCGGTGAGAGAAGCACGTTATTAATCATAGAATGATGACGGTTTAAAGCAGTTGTAATACAATTGTGTTAAATTCTTGAAATCTGTTGGGGAGCTACCCGAAAGGGGGTGGCAAGCTATTGGTTTAAAGAATTATTCAACAAGATAGTTTAGGAAGGTAGTAGTAGTAGAAGTTCATTTCTTTGGTCATTATGTACATTGGAACTTAGGTTCAGAAGATCAACAACATTTTACAATAAAGAAAAGAACAACTAAAATGTGTATACCAAGAATTTTAGTGGCTAAATAATGTCCGACCGGAAGGGGTTAAGGCTGAAGTCGAGACTTCATACTGCCTAACCCCTGTTGCAACAAATATACAGATTCTCATATGGAACATAATTACTAAATCTAATTTACCAATGATGGTAACATGAAGCACAAAACTTATAACAAATAGAACTATAAGTATTTGGTTCTTCTACAACAAAAAATAGTATGTTAGCAAAGTTAGAAAGATGGTCGAAAGTAGGAGTAGTCAAAACATAGCGCTGTTATTAGTTTGATAACATCAAACATCGCTAAGCTATTATTGTGTAGTATAGAATAACCAAATACTTTTAGTCAACAAGACATACAGTACTGTAGGTGAGGTTCCATAACTGTGGTCGAAAGTACATTAGCTTTACCCTCACAGCTTTGTGATAACTTTGGCTACTCCCTCTGTCTATGTCCTGAAAGAGCCGCATGTCTAGGGGCTGAAAACACAAACTGTAAAACTGTTTTGACTGGATTCAGGTTCTAAGCTTTAAAATGGGATCCATACTGATTCTCACCACTGCTACACTCGCCGCACATTTTTTTGTCTTTTGTGGTTTCCTCGACCACATGTACAGCTCCTGGTTTGATATAGGTCAAAAACCAGGACCAAACTTTGAAAACATGACAACATTTCTGGGTCTACTAACCCTAAGACAACTCTGACACACACAATGGATTCATTTAGAGATTTTTTATGTTTTTAACTTATTCGTACCATTTTGTGATTTGTTGCAGGGACGAAACAGTGTATGATTACCCTTATCAATGTGAGTATCTATCTTATTCAAATGCTGGGATGTCACATGTTTTGGTCTTTCTGATGGCTCTTGTTGGTTGCAGGCTGGGTGACAGAGATGCAGGGTCTGGCCACAGATATGGAGCTGGAGGAGAATTCGCTTGAGAAGGTTCAGCAGTGGATTCTTACTCACAATTATAAAAAAAACGATTAACTGTGAATGAAATACAATTAATTTCATTTGGATTTTTTTTAATAGGAGGAAGAGCAGTTCTTTATTGACCTGATACAGAAATATCTTGAACCTTTGCCAGAGGATAAAGCCAAACTGGAGAAAACCAAAGAGTCACTAAAAGACCTAAGAAACAAGGTAAAAACTAACTTATAGTTATCGCATTAACGTTGTGTGGTTTACATTAATTGGTTTATCATTTCTCTGGTCCCTGCATTCAAACAAAAAAGCAATAAATATATGCATTTGTATGTATGTAGGTATATATATATATAAAATATATAGATAGATAGAAAGATAGATTGGTGAAGCTGTTGGTGAAGTGATATAGTATACATGAAAATCTGTAGTTAATATTCAAGTTCTTTCTTAGGGCGGTTTATATAGAGGCGCTTCATAGTCCAGAAAGTACTCTAGTTACTGAAGTGAAATCAATCGAAATATATTTATAAAGCACTTTTCAAACAATGCAACACAGTGCTTTACAGTTTGGTTACAGACAATCCCACAATCCCCAGCGGGAGTCGGTGTAGAAGTTTCGGAGCAAAGCCATTAATTCTTATTTCGACAACTTTTGCAATGTTTCTCTTTCCAAGGGAAATATTTCTTGTATCTTTTTAAAACAAGATCATTTTGCTCTTTGTCCCATTGGAAAAGGCAGTTCGAATGTGCTCAAATTAAGATACATTTTGCCAAATGTAAGCAATTTTCGACTTATTTTTCACAGCTTTTTGCAGTTCTCTTGAACTCATACTTCAGTACAAGAGAGATGAGTGCTGCAGTGAGTCTAACTGGGTCAGGTGCTCATCCAGATAAGCAGTGGCAAAACCACTGAAAACTTGAGCTGAGGAAAAATATGAGGCACTCTTGACATTAACATAAAATTCCTCATACTTTTAATTTTTTTCTTCAATCAGATATTTCAAATGAATCAAATTCAAAGCAGCTTTAGCAGCCTGGGTCGTAGCTCGTGATGGGCATGAGGGTGTGTTACTTTAGTTTCCAGACCTTGTGACAGGTGTGATTTACTAAAGGGGTCTACTCGTTCCAATAAATCTACAAAAACACGCTCTACAGAAACAGAGCAGTAGAAACCGAGGGCCGTGACACCTGGAATAACTCATCCCTCTTAAGGCTCCTCCACCTGATCATTTACAGTAATTAAACACACACCCAAACCAAGAATCTCCCATTAGCACCAGAGGATGACGGTGTCCCAGCCCTAACACACAGATTAACATTTATTCAGTCATTGCTTTAATCCCAGGTCCACGGTCTCTTTCCTCTTTAAAATCTTGAGTTGAGCAATTTTATTTTTGATTTAACACATGACTGAAATGCTCTGGTGGTTTACGTAGTTCGGAGAAGGACAGTGTTATTGTAATGAAGGCTTTTGTTAAGGACACATGGCATAACCTGCTGAAACGTGGGCAATGATTATCAGAATATTGTTGCACTTAGCCTTAAATCAAATCTATTAAAATTTCACGCAGTTCGTTCATTTGTTTGTTTGAGTCAAAATAAAAAAAAAAAATCAAATAAATGCTAAAACTTGAAGTTAGGCAAGGAAAGGGATGTTTATTTGTATAACACAGTTCATGAACGAGGCTACTGAAAGAACCTAAGATAGAAATAAATCACACAAAGCACACAATACATACATCAGCGAAGATACAATCCTTCACAGAACTGTTTTTAACCTAGATTTCAACATTTGGTTCTCGTCAGGACTGGCAAAAATGGAGACAGACCTGTAGCCATGAACTGCGTAACCACGGTAACTAATCGAGTCTCCTTTGCAGGTGAACTTTGGCTTCTTCTTCCTGAACGCTTTGTGGCTGGCGGCGACCTTCACGCTTCAAACCTTTGACGTGGCCATCTTCATCGAGCTTCCCAAACTGAGCGTGGAGTTGGAGGAGCTGGGAGACCTCAAAATTGACCCCATTGGATTCATGTTCATCATCGGATTCGCCGCCTCAGTCATCATCCAGTTTTTGGCCATGCTGTTCCACCGGTCAGTCCGTGGAAAATCACATGTATCAATGTTTACGGCACGATACTCAACGTCCATCTGTTGTGCGTCTGTCTTTGTAGACTCAACACGCTGATCCATTACGTGGCCTTCTTGAACACGGAGCCAAAAGCAGAGTCGAAATCAGATGACGTATATTTCCCTCCCAAAAAGAAGGTATTGTGATAGTTGCAACATCCTGGTTTCCTTTCTGGCTCTCAATAGACTGTTGCAACACCATAGATGCTATATAGCGGACAATGCTAACTCCCTAGCGCAATGAAGCTAATAAGACAAAGTTTTGCACCATCAAAACCATTAAGCATGATAAAGAAGCGGGTATATAATCTCTAACTTTAGCACAACAAAGAAGCAATTTCAGAATCTAAAACTTTAGCATGACAAAGAAGCAAATATAGAATCTATAACTTTAGCATAACAAAGAAAACATTATAGAATCTCTAACATTAGCATAAGAGAGAAGCAAGTTTAGAATATATAACTTCAAAATAATAAAGAAGCACGTATAGAACCTTGAACATTAGCATACGGCAATAAAAAAGCAAGTATAAAATCTCTGATGTTAGCATAATGAGCTCAGTTTTAGCTCATTATGCTAAAATGAGCTAAAACACTGATGACACTGATAATAAAGACTAATGTGTGTGAGCGGCTGAGGGCCCTGGTTTGGACATGCCTGCTCTCATCCATCTCATATGTACCCCTCTATTATCATAAACACATTTAAAACCGTTTGTCAAAGCCTTCCCATGGCCCTGCTAACCCGGCATCGAGGGAATGAAGATGAAATGCAGCTGTGAGGTTCTCGTGACGATTAGAAGAAAGTGTGACAGACCTTTAAGACTTTATGATGGAGACTTTATTCTCAGCTCTTACTGAACAGGTTTCCCAAGTCATTAAATGGATACAAGAAACATAACATTATCCACTTATGGCTTTAATTGGCTTCTTTGGTAAATCTTTCAGGTCACAACAACAAGAAGACTCATTAGAGATGTCACACATGTCACGATACGCCTCTTACAACGTGATAATTTTCATAGTTTCTAAAGGAGAAAAGTGCGGCATGAACTGGAGCATGTGACATGAAAACTAAACCTGGGCCATTTTAGAAGTGCTCCATCGTCTAAGATCCTCAACTTTCATTTCTCTTTATAGTTTTGTATTTGCATTTTATCTGGTTTATCTCCCAGTCACTTTTTAAGTTAATTTTTTTTTTTACTTTCTCACATCACAGTAGTATTTTACTGATCTTGATATGGTACACAGTCTAATGGTAATAACATTGTAAAAATAGGTTTAGTCACATTCAAGCATCTCTGAATTTGTTCTCCTACTCTTTTATCCATTTAACCATAATCTCCCCACACATGCTCTGTTTTTCTAATCTGTTTTTATAATCTGCTCCTCATCGCAGGTCGTGTCCACTCCCAGCATCGAGACACGGTCAGATTACGGCTCGGACTCCATCGCCATGTCGGATGTCGCCAGCGGCTCGTCACCGAGCGAGAGCGACTTCTACAGCAGCGAGAGCGACGACGACATGTTCTCCTACATGTCCCGGCCCAGAACCGGGGGCACCCTGGTGTGAGACTCACACTGTAGCCCTTTAACAAACTTTAACTGTTTTTAATGTTATTTATGTTTACGATTGTTGACATGTGAATAATTCTGTGTGTGTGCCAGTGTAGAGCCCGATTATGAAACAACAGTTCAACCTCTGAAATATGTTTATTGACTTTCTACTCCGTCCCAAATGAAGGATCTCGCTGTTTTCTCGCTGCTCTGTTCTCAGTCTGTCCACACAGACCTCGAGAGTGTTGTAGAATGTAGAAAGTCTTCAAAATGAAGTATACTCACGGGAAAAGGGAAGTAAAGCTCAGGGAATGTATTTTTTTAAATGCAGTGTTAAGATAATGTTAAAACTATTTGATAAGATGGAATGAAGCTTTCTTATGCGCTCTTAATGTGTTCTGTGCAATGAATGTCATTTTGGAAGTAAAAAATAATGCAAAAACAAGATGTGTCTATTGCTTTATTCGTTTATTTATGTTTATGATGAGTTTATGATTTAGAAACTCTCTCTCTCTATGACACATCGACCAGTGAGATATAAAGAGAAAGAGAGATGCCAAAGAAAGATACTTTATTTTGTATTCATTCTATTTAACCAGGAAAGTCCCAATGAGATTTAAAATGTGTTTTCAAGTGATTCCCGGACAGAAGTTTACACACAGTTACATACAATTACAGATTATAAAACAGTTACATGCCAATTAAGCATGTCTCAAGTGCTCTCAATCTGAGGACCATTACCCTGCTACAGAGGCACTGACTCAGGAGTAAGATTTATTATCTCATATTTTGTACTAGTTCACAATATGGGAGGATGTTTGAGAATATTATTTTATTGAACATTGGTTTAGATATGTGTTGTTGAAAGCTTTTACAGATTTTTGATTGAACCTGTAATA